TGAATCAGCGTTCGGAGGGTTTAATTACAGTTGTTTATATATTATGTACTGAGTGTGTTCCGTTTAGTGTAGGCGTGATTGCAAATAGCTTATTCTTGTGTGTTGAGACAAGTTAAGGGCAATTTTGCTATAAAATTCATTATTTAGTTATTTTAGAAATTGTGATTACTTTGATTTTGAGAATTGTATTTTTAGGCTTATAAAGATTGTTTTAAGTACCTTGGTTTGAGACTAACCTTCTAACCAGGACTTTTATTTTTTAAAAACTTTTATAATGCTAAAAATTGAATTTTTAGCATTATAAAAGTTTGTGATTTTTTAAAAATTTTTCAAAAAAGTGCCTCACCTTTTTAAATTTGTAAGCGTAGCTTGTCTGAAAAGTCGAAGAAAGTGCTTGAAACACAATGCCAAATTTGTCAAAGCGGCGGGAAACCAAAATAATTTAAATTTAAAACTCAAAAGTGCAAGCTAAAATTTTTTATGGATACTATTGGTGGTACAAAGAATTCATATAAAAATTTTTAGGTGTTTTTGAATAAGGCAGGTTGGGTACTTTCCTTGTTAATCATATTTCAAAACAAATTTCAATTTTTTTGTGTTTTATGACATTTCCACTAAACATCTTTTCATCTTTGTTCCAAACCTAAATGTTAAACATAAAGCAAGATAAAGTTGTGAAAAGTCGACTCATTTTGGGTATTCTGAAGCTGATTAAAGGGTTGTTACTGATAACATTGCATTCTTGTCATTTCGGTCTTCAAACCCTTTTTTCTCATTATTTCCGTTTGTTTTTTGCAGTTTGCACTTTTATGCATCATATAGCTTGTGAGGTATTATTTTGGGGTTTTTGAGTTATTGTATGTTGAAATGAATGTCAATATAGGAGGGTTTATAGAAAGAACTAGGTATAGGGCTCGTTGTTGAGAGAGGGAAAAACTTTTTCGGTAATCAAGTAGGTAAATGAGAGGATGGGGACGGAAGAGAGAGTGGAAAGAATATATGTCGGACTGTAGTTTCTTATAACGACACTTACTGTATGTATATCTATGGGATGTAGTTAACAGTTACTAATTGTTCAAAATGTAATAGATATTTACAAAAGCTTACTAATCTTTTTAAAATTTATATTTTTTTTGCCATTTTTATTTTGATTCACCTATGAAGCCAATTATATTTGATTGATAATTAATGAGCCCAATCATTGCTGCTTCAATATATCTGTTAGTTTTGACAATATGTCTATATAAAACAAACAAATTTCATTCTTTTGAAGTATTATTTGATATTATTCAGTTTTTTATATAACAGCGTTGTTGAAATTATACAGTAACTGTAAAATTGTAATTGTATAATTGCTGGTCGTTTTCTGTAGAGAGCTTTTGAGCACAATAGCTAATTTTGATTATGTAAAATAGTTTAGTTTTTATTCATTTGTTTTTGTTTTACAGTAAAGCTCCGGTTTAACGACAGTAGAGCTCAGGTATGACAAATTGCTGAACGGTTTAAATTTGTTCGTTATAAAGGAGTTTTGGTACAGGTGTCATAAATGCGCTGTTTAGTAGTAGATGGGGATTCAAAAGTTGCTTTTGATACGAAATTTTTGTTATAGAAAAGCTTGTTATACACAAGTTCTACTGCAGTTTAGTTTTACTATGGGAGTTTCTTCAAATGTTTGTTTTGTCGAAGATACTATACAGCAAAAAGTTTTCAAAAAAGTTGAACGTAGCCTTTCCTCTTAATTTTTGAAAAAGTTTACATCTTTCTTCTAATTGTAGACCAAAGAATTTTTGATCAAGACTAAAAATAAGTTTCAAAAAGTTTCTGTAAGGCTTCCTATTTTGAGTGTTCAGCTAGACTAAAAGTGTTTTTGGGTTTCTGCAGATAAAAATACTCTTTGTGATAATTTCTTTACTTTTGTTTTGAACGATGACTTATATTATTGACTTCTACTCGACTATCAGATTTATGGTTTCTACCGGAAAACAGTCGAATTTAGAAAGAATACGGATGTTAAATTTTGTCTTCTTGTACGTTATCTTTTCTAAAATTAAGCGGGTACTATTTTTAACGTAGTAGCAAGTCGGGGGTCTGTTAGGGTGTGGCAATAGCGGAAAGCATGGACGATAAAGTACGGTAGAGTAGGGTAGGGTAGGGTGAGGCAAGGTAAGGACACGTTACGTAATCTTACGTAACATACGTTAAAGTAACAGGTAACCCCATGTTTTGTCATCACAAGATAATTACATATGGATATTATCCACCATTACTCATCACGTTTTTAAAAAGAGCTGTCTCTGTGATAGACACTCCACCTGTAGCAATATTTTTAAAAAACCGAAGTCTCTTTTTATCTCTTTTTGGCTGAACTTGTTTATCCAGTGATTCATTTTTGGGCGATATCCAAAAGTGCAAAAATAGTTTTGTTACAAATACGGATTACTTAAAATACTTTTAAAAACTGTTTTTTGATTACGCTGATCTGTAATTTGGTGTGTTTATTGAGTAGTTTTAGCTCCACCCAGACCGGTGAAGAGGCCGAGCCAGACTGAATTTTTCGGCCTTGCCCTTGATTTGCTTTGGCCAGACCGAGTGGGCCCCCTTTCAAGCCTAGGTCTCCCTCTCCTCTTCTTCATGACCCTCTGCCTGTTCACTGTATAACTATATTGTTCTTACTAAACCAAACCTGTCTAACATTCTTTTTCATCATCTTGCTAAAAACGTCTGTCTCTTTTATTTGCATATCAATAACTTTTGTGGAATGTTTGTCGCGGGCGTTTTATTGTTATGTTATCTATTACGTCTCTATGCAAATATAAGTCTAGTTGCAAATGACTAAAAATTGAAAAAATTAGGGCTATTTCTTGGGGTTTTAGGCTTATTAACTTCAACTTACAATAGTAAATTTGAAATATTTTGATGATTTTTAAGTCTTTTTTTTTAAATTTGAGTTTCTTAGACCTTCCAAGAGTTAAAAATGTCAATTTGGCACAGAGAAAGCTTAGTCTATCTAGTTTTTGAATGTTCAATTTTAAAACATTTAAAGCAAAATTAAGATCAAAATGATTTTTTTAAAAGTCATTTTCGGGCTAAAAATACTCATATTTTAGATAAATAAGGTTTTTTGTAAATGTGACAAGACTTACTAGTCGTATACGTAACGTATTATTGGTAGAGTAATTTATAAAGCAACTACAGTATTTACTTTCAAATACTATCGCATTGATGGTATTGACCACAACTTATATCATTTGTAGTACCTCTAACTACATTTATATTTCTTTCCCCTTATTACATCTACATTTCTTTACTATATTTGCAATTTTAGGTGTAGTAAAGTCATCTTTGAATAACAATCTAAGTCTAAAGTGCGTAATTTCTGAGTACGTGAAATATTGAAATATAGTGTAATAACCTTTTAAAACTAATATTTAAAAATATATTTTTAACTACACTACCCTTGTCAGTGATCGTTTTGTTGTTCACAGTGACTGCCAACAAGTACACAAGATTACCATAATCATTGTATCTACTTAACTCTACTTTTTTGTTTTTACGATATTAAGGTTAGGGTTAGGGGGTCTCTAGGGCTTTTAAACTGAATTTTTATTGATTTATTTTTGAAATTTAAACTTAAAAATATTTCTTTTTAATTTTTAAAATATTTTTTGTAAATACCTTTACTATTACCACAGTACCCTATATATAATAATACAACACCACCATGTTATATTGACCACAATTCCAGGCCACGTAATCAAATCCAAATTAGTCAAGTGTGTTAAATCTGACATTTTTCGAATTTCAAAGAGTCACGAACGGCTGAATCACCGTCACTGTACGATGGTTCCGTCTTCCAAGTTTCTTTCTTCATAAAACTTTGTGACAGCCGGCTGTCGCGATTTTTCTTTCATATTTTAAAAAAGTATTGTCTTTGGTGTTTACTTCCAATTTTTAAAAATCTCTTTTGTAGAAAGTGGCAAAAGATAAAACAATGAAAAGTACAATTTTTATGGGAAAAAAGGGGAGGGGAGGGGGTGGAAAGGGGTAGAAAGGGGTGTGGACAGAGAAAGGAGAACCTGGCCAAAAAGTTTAGTAGGAAAGCTATATGTTTCATTTTTAGTACCTATACATGCCTTAAAAAATTTTTTTTATATTTACAAAGTCTGCACAGCGCAATTACAATTCAAGTTTGCACGGTGCAAAAAAAATACTACTGATTTTCTGATTTTATAAATATTTAAGCCTACTTCTCATCATTTTTAGAGAAAAATTCGCAACATTGAATTAATGTTTTTATTACAAAATATACAAAAAGACTGATCTAGATCTTGTTTTAATATATCTGCTGTTATCTGATCAAAAACAATGGTTTTACTGTATTTTAGGTATTAAAAATGAGTTTTTTTTTATTTTGAAATATGAGTCATGTCTATTTGTACTATAATTACTATCATATAAAAAACTATCATAAACATGATTGTTAGGCCATGGAACTATCATAAACAGAGGTTTTTAGGAAATTATCGTATTTGAGCGTTACTTAAACTAGTTTTTTTTAACTTTAAGTATCCGAAAAATAGGTACAAGATTATAAATACTTATAGAATGCATCGTCTAGTCTATATTAATATATTTGGTACCAATTTTAAACACTGACATTTTTAAAATTTTTTTAAATATTAAGTTGTTCAAATAATTCTGTGCTCCTTAACTCTCAAAATTCGCTTTCAAAGAGAGCACAGAATTATGTGAACAATCTAATATTTTACTTTTTTCATATATTTTTTAAACTTTTCAATTTTTAAAAGTAAGAGTAACAGTCACCGTTCACGATTGTAAGCGACGTTCTTTGTGTATAACGTGAAGAGGTTTATAAAAGATTAAAACAACCAAAAACAGGGAAATATTTACTTTCCTTGATTCGCAAGGTAAATATTCAAAAGTTTCTTTGCGATTGTAACTGTAGTAGGGTAAAAATCAGTTTTTTATTTTTTAAAGGGATGGGGGAGGGGGGGGGGAGGGAGAGGGTGAATTTAAATTTTTTTCGAATTTGATACTATTTTTTCAATATTTTACAATTTTTAACGTTGCTTTGCTCAAATAATTCTGTGCTCCCTCTCAAAGAAAATTTTCGATGTTAGGGGTTCAGAATTATTTGAACAACCTAATACTTGTTATTCTTACTTTATTCATTCCTGAAGTAATACTTATCATCCTCAACTTATTCATCCTTAAAATAAGACATACTATCCTCACCTTATCCATCCCCAATACAATAAACCCCTGGGGAACTTGCTTTACACTCGTTTTTGGTTCGATTTCGTCGATGAATCGTCTTTTCTAATCGTCAGAGAAACGAGAGCGGTCGGTCAGTTTCCGTTTCTTTCACCTAATTTACCATTGTGCTATTCTGTAAGTCAACAATATCATTTTCTTGTTTACCATAACGACGGACACCCTTATATTAACCATATATTGTCATATGTTACCTAAAATTATATGATAAATACTGAGTTCAGAAGTGATAGATCCTCTATTTTTTGATCAGAACTGTCTGTGATAACAAATCCTCAAAATTCAAATTCAAAATATTTAAATTTGATGTCAGCGATGACGGGTTTTTTGGATTTTTAATGACAAAGTCTTGAGTTTGCGACATTCTTCTGCCATTTCTGAGATATTTTTAAAAATATTACTCAAAAATTCCATTTTCATCTACCTCCAACCGCACAGTAACACTTTTTTGTTGATTTACAGTTCTGAGCGATGACTCATTTTTCAGGCGTTTTGAGACAAAATTTCGTTTTTGGTTTTTCATCGATTGAAATCGATTTATTTTACAATGTAAACCGAAGAAAATCCACTGTAATTTATGGTTAGGTTTGCTTTCTTCACGTTTTATTGTCGTATGATCAAAAAATTGGCGGAATTCTTGGAAAAACAAGGTTATTTGGTCGAAAATCAATGGTTTGGGTTTTCAACTTGACATTTTAGGTAGTTATTGGTTTAAATATTTAGTAAATTTGGTTTTTGGATATTGGTTATGATGTTTAAGATATAATTTATTTTATATTTTGGTGTAACACATTAAAACCGTCATGTTATATCCGATATTAACCATGTTACCCATCAAACTTTGATGTGCGTTGAAAAACGCGTTAGATCAAAAGCTTTTATTAACTTCTTGGTTTTCACGTGAATCTAACTTATAATTCAAGGTTTTTGACATGATTTGCGCGCATTTTTTAACACGTTGAGTTTTACTATCAACTGGTTTTAATCGATATTGTTTTAGACCTTCAAATGAGGAGAAACGAGCATTGCTGAAAAAGTTGACGAAATCGGTGTCGACATTTGTTTTACACGGTCTTGATTTGCATATCTACAACCACGGCTACTTTGTCCCTAATTTCCTTCATAGTTGGTGAGTTATCCGGAGAAGTGTTGTATTGTTTTAGGTAACGGCAGTACATGTGGTATAACGTGATGGCTGATCGAGTTATTTTGCTAAAATTTTGCGTACAGTTTAGTAAGACAATATTTAAGCATTAAACAAAATTTTAGTGTTTAACATGCACTTTTACTTTTTAAAACTTTTATTTTCCGCCAACTTTGGCATAATGTCGCAACTAATGTTGTGACCTAAAAGTATAAATTATACGCTATAAAAACTTGTTTTTGTCTGTTTTTTTTTTGCATTTTTACGAATTTCAAGGTGTTGAAAGTTTTAATTTTTGTCTAATGAAAAGATTATATTATAGTAGGCAAGAGTAATATGTAATTATTTCAGTTGTTCACTAGTTCCGTGTTCAGTTAGGTTTTGGAGTGTGTTTCAACTGTCATTCACAATTTTTCAGAACAGGTATGGTTTTTGATCTTTATTTATTTTGGAATTTTAAAAATTTGAACTTTGCACGGTGCAGATTTAAAAAATTTAAAAAATTCAAAATTTTGGGAAAAGTGTTGAAAAATAAAATTTTTATGATTTGTGATGTTATTTTTTGAAAATTTGGCAAGAATTAGTACGTACAGTATAAAAAAAGCAAAATGACCAATATCGCCTACTACAATATAATAATATTATTCCTTTTAGTCATCGTGCCGGGTGATGAAAAGAACATCATCTGTATCTCTAAAAATCCCTCCAAGACCATGGATTTGTGCATCGGACGTACGATACGCGGTGCATTGTGTAGTGTTTGTAGGCTGGATAGTAGCCTTCGAGGTCGGTAGCGGTGCTCTGCCATTCTTTTTTCACTTTTTTGGATCTGAACCAGGAGACTCGACTGGGGCAGCAGTGGCTAGAGACGAATTCGATCCTTTCGAACGGTAGGGAGTGGATTTAAAATGGTTTTATTTTATTTAAAAATCAGGGTTTGATGAGTTTAAAGGCTGAATTCTGACCTAAAATGTGATAATAATGTTAGTTTTTTTTATCAATATTATACTTTTTTTACTATTATATCTTTTAATATATATTGTTTAGGTATGGAGCCACAATAACCTTGTTAATGTACAGCCTAAGGCTAACATCTCTCCTCGTCCTACCACAGTGTATTTGTAATATGTTGGGTTTGTTGTTCTTCAACGGATTCCGAGACAAAGTCATCTTGAAGGCATCGCCACTACTGGCACCATTTGTTTGTTTCCGAGTCGTGACCAAAGGTCTATACCCAGAACTGGTAAGGGATAATATAAGGAAGAATCTGGAGACATGTTACGAAGCTGGGATTGAGAACTTTATCTTTGAAGTGGTATCGGATCAACCAATTCATTTGACACAAGGAAGCAGAGTGAGAGAAGTGAACGTTCCACCAAGCTATAACACCAAGACTGGGGCACGGTTCAAGGCTAGGGCACTGCAATATTGTCTGGAGAATGAAGTAAGGGCTTGATGGTTTGAAATTTATTTTGTGGTATTGAACTGATTTGAAATTAATTTTTTTTGGCGTTAAGGCAAAAGTTTTATCAATTTTTTTAAATTTAAAAATTTTGTAATGTCATGTTTTAGGTAAGCATCCTGCACGAAGATGACTGGGTCGTACATTTGGACGAGGAAACTCTGCTCTCAGTTAATGTTGTCTACGGAATCTTGAACTTTGTAACAGAAGGGAAACATCCATTCGGCCAAGGAGTAATCACGTACGCTAATCATGAAGTTGTCAACTGGCTCACTACACTATCGGATTCATTTAGGTAGGGGTTTTGATGGATTTTGCTATTGAATTTTAGGTATATGGGGGTATTTATGGCATAAAATGAAAAAAGAATGTTAAATTATGGCTGGGCGGGGTGATTTTTATTTTTGAGGGGGGGGAGGGGATTAAGAAAATTTTTTTAGTTTATGGGTTGGGTGTTTATGAAATAATATGAAAAGGAGTGTAAAATAAATATAAAATCGAAAAAAAAATTATTTGGGCGGGGTAATTTCAAGTTTTTTGAGGGTGGATCAGAAAGAAATATTTTTTTTTTAAATGGTTTTTTAGCATTGTTTTACCTTAAAAATATAAAATTTTGATTTCAGGGTAGCTGATGACATGGGAAAGCTTCGTTTCACCTTCTCCTGCTTCCACAAACCTCTATTTGGTTGGAAGGGGTCGTTCGTAGTGACGCGAGCTGGAGATGAACAGAAAGTGTCATTCGATCACGGGATGGAAGGGTCGATAGCTGAGGACTGCTTCTTCTCAATGATTGCCTACCGTGATGGCTACACGTTTGACTTTGTAGATGGAGAAATGTACGAGAAGTCACCGTTCACTTATTGGGACTTTCTACAACAAAGGAAACGATGGCTACAGGGCATCTACCTCACAGTACATTCGAAACACATACCGTGGAAGAATAAGATCTTGCTGGCGTTGTCACTGTACGCGTGGGCTACTATGCCTTTCACGACGCTTCAGGTGGGGTTTTTTGAAGGGTTTTTTGGGAAGGAAAGGGTGGTTGGGACTTTTTTCACCTTGACCTTGTTGTTGAAGCAATAGGGCTTTATTAGCTCATTTTGTTGATTTTTTAGGAAAGGGGAGGAAATACTGATATTTTTCGTGTAAGGCTGGAAATGATGCAACTTTTTAATTTTTTTGCGGTTGTTCAAAATTTTGTTACCTAAAATCAACAGGGGGGACCAAGTTAAAAATTTTTTTAAAATTTTTTTTGATGGGAGAGAGATTGTGAACTTGCTTTTGAGGATAGTTTGCGACAAATAAATTTTCTATTTTGTACTTTTTAAAAATAATTTGATTAGAAAATGAACTTTTAGGTATTCTTATGTCCATTGTTTCCCCTTCCGCGGTGGCCAATCACAGACGCTCTCGTAGCGTTTATCGCTTCGGTCAATCTTTATATGTACGTGTTTGGCGTATTGAAGTCGTTCTCTCACAAATATCGGTAGGTTTTGAAATCTTCGAAAAAAAATTTGAAATTTTGAAATTTTTTGAATTTCTCAAAATTTTAAAGAATTTTTTGAAAAAAAAACCGATTGAAGTTCTAAAGCCTTATTGGTGTTATTTTTAACCAAACCCTCCAATTTCAGCTCAAACTTCTTGCGACTGGTAATGTACCTGCTGGCTGGGATCGTGACACTTCCATTCAACGTACTCATCGAAAACACGGCCGTCGTGATGGGCATGTACGGGCAGAAGGACGGGTTTTACATTGTGAAAAAGGACCTAAGTGTACTCGATGTATGACATTCTGATTTTCAATTCGTACTAATTGAAGTTAATAGGATGGTGTACTTAATATTGTGTCTACATTATTAATTTAAGCTCGTTTTTATTGGGGTTTTGATTGGTTTTTGCAAAAGTTCTCGGGCTGGGATGGGTAATTGATTTTTTTGGAATTTCTTTGAAAAAGCGGCGATTTTTTTATATTTCCGAGAACTTTTGGACCGAATAATACTATGCTAATACTGTAAAATCTAATACTTGACATTTTCTATACATGCAACAGAAAATTCTACATACCATGATTAAGATACTACCATTTTTCGATTAGGGTACCACCATTTTTCATCATCTTTCGCCGTATTTTAAACCCAAAACGGTATTTTTCTCTGCCAATCTCTCAATTTCACATACTATTTTAATTTTTTTCTAATCTTTTCAACCTTATCATTCTGTCAGCTTGTGTATCGTTTCATATGTTGTAATACTAACATCCGGGTGTCTAATACTTTAACAATCCATTCATTTGATAGCTTGTTTTTTAATATGTCATGATGACACATTTTTTGAAGATTTTGTATTTTTTGGAAAAAATTGTCGTATTGTGACGTATTATCAGCTAGCTAATGTTACAAAAATATGTCATAATGACAGTTTTTTAAATATTTTTGTTTTTTAAAAAATGAAATTAGGTTGTTCAAGTAATTCTGAGTCCCTCCCTAAACAATTTTTTGGTGTTAAGAGGCTCAGAATTATTTGAACAACCTAATATTTTTTGAAAATTTGTTGAAATGACATGTCGTCTCAATCCTCCTGATATATATCTTGAAAATACGTCATGATGACCCAAATAGAGTCAGTGTTTTTCTACTAACTTAAGCTTTTGATCTCTTGTTCACCTCGCCAAAATTTTTAATAAATAAGTCGTAATTGTGCAAATGTTTGGGTATATATTGTATTTTGGTTTGAAATACCAAGGTTTGTAATATTATTAAAGGATTATTACCTAAAAACTAATTTTTTAAACAGCTTTAATTTATTACCTAAATTAAGATAAATTAGTTATATTAAGGTGTTCAAAGAATTCTGTGCCTCGTAACCGCGAAAATTTTCTTTGAGAGGGGGTGCAGAATTATGTGAAAATGACTTTTGGAAGTTTTTCCTTTTTGTACGGTGCACTTTGGGAGTTTTGCACTGTGAAGCCTTCCACAATGATAAAAAGCACAATTTCCTATTTAAAAATTTATTAAAACTCAATAATTCATAATATTATTCCTGAGGTAGATGAATCTAAAAGCCCTATTGACAAGATGATATGTTCAAAAGTAAAAATTGAGAATTTTACAATTTGGAAAAAAATATAAAATTTTTGTAAAATACGCTTAAATATACGGAAAAAGACTTAAAAATAGATTTTAAATTAAAATTTTCGGCTAGATTTTTATTTATTAGGGTTTTCAAATAATTTTGTGCCCCCTATTTAACCAACTTTTTGGGATTATAGAACACAGAACTATTGAACAAATTAATATAAAAAGATGTATTTTCGTCCGTTTTTTTGCCTAGAAAAAGATAAAAGCTATCATTGATTGTTACTTAACTTTGTCATAGTATTATAGTTACTGTGACAATAATTTTGCTAAGAAAATGTTATTGTTAAAGATTTTTTCAAAATTTTCACTTTTTCTTTTTGTATTTTTGCAAAAACGCGGCAGTAGACGACGGATCAATGCTAACATAATTCAGCGACGAAGCGGGCTGCTTCTGTTCTCGACTATCGGCCGTTCTGTTCTTGTTCGCCGATCGACCGGAGGCTCGAGTTCGACCACGTTCGAAGACGATTCGATCGTTCAGTTCTGACTGGATCGAGATCTGAGATCCGGTATCATATTCTTCATCAAACTTTGACATTCGCGACAAAGAAGCCTGCTTCAGGAGGTGAGGTTGAGATGGCAGACTGACGGTAGAGATGCCTCGCGAGTGGGGCGGGGTGGAGAGCTTGGACTGGACAGACTCGGTTCGGGAATGCTCTTCGACTTCCTGAAAGGATTTGAGCTTTATGGGGTTGGGTTTACTTTACCCTGCTTTATCTTGCCCTACCCTACTTTACTCTACTCTAATCTACCTTCCCCTACCCTATTCTACCTTACCCTACCCTACTATACTCTACCTTAACCTATCTTAAGCTACCCCTCCCTACTATAAATTATTTTACCCCACCTTAAATTACCATACCCTTCCCTATTCCATCAAAAATAGTCCTATTGGTACCGTTTTGAATAACTAAAACGTCATTTCCTAGTCCAAGATGGTCTTATAAACTTACTGGAAGAGCAGTGGTACCCTTGTCGTATCCAATGATACTGCCTTGATGTGATCGTCCAGTATAAATGGCTGTGTTGAAGGAAGCACGGTCGTCTGACACCGTGTTAGTGATTAAAGTGTTTATGGATTCTGTCGGGGTTCTGAAAAACCAAATTTCAAAAAATTTTAAGGCTTCAAAGACCTTTTTAAGTGCTATTTGGCTTTAATGGTACAGTTCGGAACAGTTTTAAAACTTTTTAAATTCAAAAACCTACACAGAATAAGGCATGACTTTAGCACTACTAGTCTTGACTGGCACTGTCTGATAAGCTGAACCAGACGAAGAATCATTCGAACTGACAGACGTCACCGACCGTCGTTTCTCTCGTTCTCTCAGATTCTGTTGTCGTCTCTGTAGCGCCGTCTCCAATCGTGCCGACGACGATACAGAATGGTCGAACCTGCGATGATGTGTAGTACTATTGGGTGACGTCTCCGAAGTCGGTATGTTATCAAAAACTCTGGCAAAGGTTTCACTATCTTCGTCGGCGTAGCCCTTCGTGGTATTGTCACCGTCGTACTGTTCGAAGCTTCCCGACACCGCATCCAGAAGTTTTTTCTTCAACGAACGGCGGATCGAGACGTCAGCGTTCCGTGACAGTAGTGGTATGTTGATGTTGGGCCTGACCAGACCCAAGGTGTTGGCGGCGGGGGTGTTGCTGGTTTTTGGAGGCATAAACATTGAGGATGAGACCAGATTCTCTTGGGAGACGGAGGTCTGCACGGTCTCCGCCGTGGCGTACACCTTCTCCGAAGCGTGGGACTCTTCGTTGGACAATGAGGAGTTGTCCGCCGATGCTGGATCGTCTTCCTAAAACTTTTTTTCAATCTTGGTGCAGAAAGAATGGCATATGTGAAGGCTGGTGCAAAATAAGACCTTATCTTAAAGCTGATGCAAAAAGAATGGCGCATTTTAAATTTGATGCGAAAAGAATGGCATATTAAGATATTGATGCAAAAAGAATGGCGCATTATGGATTTGAGGCAAAAAGAATGGCATATTATGAAATTGATGCAAAAAGGATGGCATATCCTAAAGCTGAAGCAAAAAGAATGGCGCTTACTCGAATGACCGGCTGAATCATGTGCCCCGAGGGGGTTTGGCTGTTTTGGCGGCGATGGACAAAGTTTAAGCTCGGATGCATGGACTGAATGGAGCCGGCCCGACCAGCGGAACCGTTGTTACTCATGCTAGTCAATATGCCTGACGCGTCCAACGGGTGCACGTTGAAATACTGATGGTCCGTGTCGTCGAAGGTCTCGAGTTCGCTGAAAAAATCGCATATTAGGGTGGGAAAAGATGGAAAAATGACAATCCAAACCTAGAAATTGAAAAAAGAATATTTTGTAAAATTTTAAAATTTGATGGTTCCAGTAGTACCAATGGTACCAGATGTACAAAAGTTAAGTAAAAATTCTTTAAATAGTGTTTCTAGTTAATATTACACTTAAAAAAACGTTTTTACAAAAAAAGGGTACCAGTGGTACCATATGTACCGAATGCACCATATGTATAAAAATATTTATACCACTAGTGGTACTACTAACATAATATTTATGGTACCATAAGCATTTTTTTACAAAAACTAAAAATCAGCCCACCTTGGCATGGTTGTAAGCGCACTAGCCATTGAGGTTTGCTGCATTAGCGAGGTTAGGCTTTGTGCTACAAATAAAAACGAATTCAGAAAACTACAGTAACCCTTACAGTATGGTTAAAAATTTTTTTAATAAAAATCTGTTTTCAAAATACGGTTTATAAGTAAAGCTTTTTGAATTGTAAAGATACCTTTATTCTACCGTAATCACCCCCAAAAATTATTAAAAACTACAGTAACCCACTTACATTGAGCTTGTTGTTGGGCTTGTAGAATGGCCATCTCCTCAGGCGTCAGTTCTACAAAGATTCTGAGATTATACGTAACATCACTACTATAACACACTTCAATACTTTATAGTACCATCTACAGTACCAAACTTACCAGTAGGCCCAGTATTGACGTAGTGGTGCACCAGACTACCAGCCCTGTCAGTAGCATAGTTTCTTCGCGGAGGCAGCGGCAGAGTTTGTGCTGGTGTCGTGGCTATAGTAGGCGTGTTACTGCGCGGTAATTGTGCCAGCATTGGCATTGAGTTGGTAATGAAATCGACCGGCCGAGCACGACTACTGTGGCTGTGAGCATGACTTGTGCCGTGCGGTAGATTCATATGAGAAGGATGGGCTTGGAGCACGGAAGGGTTAGTGTGGATAGAATCTGATGGATTGATGGGATGAACAAATTGGTCTGGCTTCAGAAGAAGACGGAGAGTACGGTGGATTTGAGCAGTGTGATCGCCGGTGAAGGAAAAGGAGTGGGGCTTCAACCAGGTACGTACAGAAGCTTCGAATGACAGTTCACCTTCTGAGCATTCGACTTTTCCAAGGCTGCGTAGGGATAGGCAGACGATCTGTTGGGGTGGAGAACTTTGGACAACTGTCAGCATTGTCTTCTGTAAAGATTATCAAAATTATAGTTTTATAGGTTTAAAACAACTTTGAAAATTAAATTTTTAGGCTTAAAGACGCCTCAAAAACTAAAAAAAACAAGATATCAACCCTGAACCTGCCTTACCGTTAAATGAATTCTCACTTCATTCCCAACCAACTGTAGCGTCGCCGTCCGTGACATGTGATTCACATGCATACAAAAGATGAAACCTAAATTTTTAAAATAAAAATCACACAGTAAGCTTACTTCTGCCACAAATATCTCGTAGCCATTCCTTCCACAACACCATGCATTCGCCGCTCCAGAATGACAATATTAATATCCGGTTCTCCATTATCAAAGCCAAGGTTTTCGTCGTTCTGCCGGCCTTGAATCCGTATTCATAGCCAATGTAGTTCTGCATGTAGAACAGCTCCAGATGTTGACCTTTCTCTCGAGTTTTGTCATTTTTGAATAGACCGATCAGGGGGGCTTCGGCGCCGTTTCGGCGTTGGCATACAATGTAGCGACTTTGCCACTGAAAACGGTGAGTTTTAGATTTAAAATAGCATTGATATAAAGAAGAAAAGGAAAAAGAAGATAAAACAAAAACATTAATAAAAAGATAAAGATATAGAACTTATAATTAAAATAAAAAATTATCTGTACCTACATAAAAATGTCATCGAAAATTAAAAAACTTAGCACCAACCTATAAGTACAACAAAACTCACCTTATTTTTGTACAAAACTCTGCCAGGAGACTCGATTCTCAGTCCACCATCAAACAAAACGGCATTTTGACGGCTTTGAAAGAAGTTACAAAGCATTTTAAAACTTTAAAATGTACTTTCTCCTCTTTATAATATTAGTGTACTTAAAATACTGATAATACTGTTTATTCTATCCTATATGGCATACAAATAGTACACCAATGGCTGTATAAGATCAGTTAACTTTGATCTATTTCCATCTTTGGTATACTGAGCATAGTAAATTTGAAATTGGTAGTAGTAGAAGTCGTTAACATGCAAGTTTTAAGAGCAAGACGTATCAGTATCTGTGTAGTTCAATAATTAGAATTTTTAGTAGTTTAGAGCTAAGAAAAGTAGTTAAAAGATGTTTTTAGTAGTAATCTTAGTACTGAAACAACTAAAATGAAACTAGATGTTACGCTTCGTACTATAGTAGATGTTACGCTTTGTATTATAGTAGATTTTACCCTTCGTAATAATAGCTATATATGTAGACGAAAATAGATAACAAAGTAAAATACGTAGCCAGTATAGTCGAAGAAGCCTTGAACTGTTTTTCGCTAAAAACGGTTTTTGTAAACAAAGTTTTAATAATAAAAAAGTTGAAACCGGAAATGCAAGCGTCTTTCATCAATCGCCAAATCACGTCTCAAATCATTTATTAACACGGGCAGGGGAATATCGTTTAGGAGCAGTACTATTAATATTGAGGTAAAAACGATGAAGCCAAAGTTTTCAAAAGATAATATTGTCTAGGAACAGTACCAGTAGTACTTTAAGTACACAAGAGAAATAGGTAAGGTACAAAATATGGTGCCCAGGAACGTAGCTAGGAATGGAAGGGGTGAATGAAGCTGGATCCACCCTCGCCTCCCAGAAAAAATGTAGAGCTACACTCCTAGAGGTGCTGAATACAAGAAATTGTGACTTAATTTTGATAATACTCGAGCTGAAGCACATAGGATTCCACTCTTAGGCCTAGTACTAAAAGTTACCCAAAAAAGTTAAGGTTTCTTAAAATCAACTTATAGCCTAACCTATTCTTGACAAATATTTTACGTTGCCACAACTTTAGAGCTTATTACACATCGTTACCTAAACTTTTGTAAAATACGAAAAAGCCAACCCTCTAGCAGAAAAATGAAAATTGAATGTCAAAATGAAAAGCCCGTTCTTTGACCAAAAAGTGGCAGGCTATTACAATTTCAGAGACAAAAAGCGTAGTTTTCCACTGTAAAAACAATCTTTCCCCCAATTGGCGGTCATTTGCTTTTATTTGCAAATACTTTCAATTTACAACCAGGTATTTCGGCTTTTTTAAAATTTTTAACTATAAAAGGTATATAATCAATTAAAAAAGGTTTCTCTTAGCGACTAAAAAGTTGAGTTTCTAAGAGGAAAAAAAAACAAATCACTACTTACCCTGCCCAAGAAGCACCTTATAAGTGGAGCCTCTGCATAGCGAATCGCTAGTGGTTTAAAATTCGTTCGTTATGGAGAGTTTTCGTTACACAGAAGCTTTAAGTGCAATGTGTAGAGTTAACCGCGGATTCAAAAGTTGTTCGTTATAAAAGGGTTTCGTTACACAGGAGGTTCCTTAGTTCCACTATTTATTAAATTTTTCAAATAATTCTGTGCCCCCTAGCCCCGAAAGGTTGCTTTGAGAGGAAGCACAGAATTGCGTGAAAAACGGCGCTAGGACAAATGCGGTTTTTGGAAATTTGCGGATCTGCGGTTCTTAGACACTTGCGGATTTTGGACATTTGCGGATTTTTTAAAGGAGTTTTTTTTATTTTTTATTTAATTTAGTTGTAGTATGGTAGTAAATGGTACTTAAATTGGCACTGTCTTAATATTTCTTAATGTTAAATAGTACTAAAAGCCCAAAAAGGTACTTTTATGTTAAAACCGTACCAATTCAAACTTTAGTACAACTTAGTACCATAATACAACTAAATTAACTAAAAAATAAAAAAAACCCCTTTAAAAAATCCGCAAATGTCCAAAAACCGCATTTTTCCTAGCGCCTGAAAAACGTAACACATCTATTACAAAAAATACCCTCTGTAAGTTTATTCTACCCAAAAACCCCTTCCAACAATATCTTTTTTACCCTATCCACAATCACCGTTTTCTCAAAAATAATCTCTAGCAAATCATCATCGATTCCATCAAAAAACCCTTCGGTCCTCTCCCCCTTCATCCCTCGATTACTTACCCCACCCCCAAAAATTATCTCTTCCATTCTTTACCCCACCTGCAGAAACTGTTCCAGCCGATGACAATTAAAAATCGAACAAAGTGGCAATAATGCATGAGGCATCGATCACAATGGAAAGGAATTCATTTTTTGTTTCGGGTCATCGATATATTAAAGCGGACTTCCGATGAACCGCTTCTCTTAACACTCGTTAAGTCGACGGCGCCGCTCCACCGATTGGAATCCCGTGTACAAGTCGTTTTTTGCGCTCAAACTAGGCGAAAAATAAAGATTTATGATAAGGGTGGATCAATTCGATTACAACCACCAAAACGTTTTCTTTGATGACACAATCGTGAATACATTGATGACATTGATAATGGTTTTGATAAAAATATTTTAAAATAAGTCTTTGTATACCTTTACCTTGTTAATCTATATCATGAAACTAAAAACAAGGTAAATAAGAAGACAAAAACCTCATAAGACAATGGTAGACGAATAAATAAGCATAGTAAAACCATGGTAAAAAATGAAGCAAATAAACCTTTAAAAATCCAGATCACTATACAGTTTTCACCCAAATTCAGACCTAAAATATTGTTATCAAAAACATCAACAATACAAATTTTGTAAAGCATAAACTAATGTATATTTCCACAAAATTTTGTCGTTGTACCTGATATATCAACAGAGTTACAACAGTTTAAAAAGGCAACAAACTTTTCTTTTCCTGAGCGGAATCGAACTTTCCTTGATTTTAAAACTTTTTTGCTTATTTTACGTTTCAAATAGCTATAACAACTCCCTCAAACTACATATAAAGACGAAAACCGAGAATAACATACAAAATTCTATGCTTTACAAAAGTTATTTCTTCAATTATTCAAAACTTCCATTTTAGGTATACAATTTGTCAAAAGAATAAAACAACTCCTACGACAATATAAAAAATGTATGTAAAATAAAGATCAGAACCCATAAACAAAAAGTGTAAGTACCAGCTTCAGAATCCATCATTTGAAGCTATTTTTTCCTCCAAAATTGAAATTCTAAAAAACTCAAAGGGAAAAATTAAATTTCCAGAATTATGACGGATTTTCTAGATGAACTTCGATGCTGGCAGACTATATTTACTAGTTTTTGACCAATGTTATTAAAAAGTATGAAAAAAACAGGTAGATATTGACGATTGTTTGTTAAAACTAACTAATGCGGATACAATTTCTGAATATACCAAGGTTTTTATGACACATTTTCTAGAAGAATTAAAAATGACATGTTTTAGGCGAAATAACGCATTTTTTCGACAAAGGTACATGTTTTTAAGAAAATATTTTAAAATACGAATTTCTTTGAAGCGAAACGTAATGTAAGTACCTCACGATTGAATAAATATTTATTTTTAAATTTAAAAAATAAAATATATTTCTTAAAATTTAAATTTTTTTATTACAGGTTGGATAGAACAATATTGTACCTTCTTTTTATTCTTGGCCAGAACCCTCGAATTCGCCACTACCGACGTCAGTCTGATTAAACCCATCACCTGGATCATCGTTGTTGAGAAACGAGATGAGATTGGCGTTTTGTCCGCATATCAGGTTAGGCAACTGATCTCTCAAGTCGATCAACAACTCCACTGTATCTCCATCGGCTTCAGGCGTTTGGAAATAAAACTCGGTGATAGCTTGGCAACCACTTTTTCTCACTTGATTCCGTTCACGGCGTAGCACGGGATGACAATCGTGTAGAACGACGGCCAATGGCGTGATTCCACTGACTTCGGATTCTGAAAAAAAGATTCTCTGGAAACTGTTCTCGGCCAGGGTGGTTTCGCCCATAAAGTCGTGTGGGTCGAAGGGTAGACTGTCATGTTCGTATATTTGGACACGACCGATGGTATATGTGTTATCTTCGTAGTCTAGATCACAATGAACACCTCCTTGTACGTAGAATTCTTCACCGTAGGCTTGGGTAACAAGTAGTAGGAAAAGTAGAGAGAATATGTTAGTTGTCATAGTAAAATACGTTATAAAAATTTATTATTCCCTTGTTTTTAACACTAGTTTCGATTCAACAGTTTAAAACAATACTATAGCTATAATAACTGTAAGTAATGACTAGAAATGGCCGTATATTAATAGCAAGTCAAATTTCTAATTAAAAAAGAACAATATATATTACAATATAATTAAAGATAGCACAATATGGCTCAAGATACCAGAATCAAAAACACTATACAATTTTAAAACAAAGCCTGGGATTCAAATAATAAATTTCGAATTGAAACATTCCGATTGTGCGTCAGATTGTGACCTTAAAAACACTCAAATTCTATTCAAATTTTTGGAAAATTAATCATACAAATGTCATTAAACATCTACAAGACTATTGCATGTTAATGTTTTACAAAAGTGTTGAAAAACACTTTTTTTTATTAAACATTTTTAAAAGCAACGTGTATACGATGATTTATAAAGCACAATGTTAATTGAAATTGAAATTAAACTCTTTGGTTCAGTGATATCACACAAGGAAGATGATAAGGATTACAAAAAGTCAACTTTTCATAGTGTTCAAAGTAATTCAAACTACAAATGGATTATAAACCTGTACTCTCTCTTAAAGCAAGTTTTCAGGGTTATGGAGCTCAGAATTATTTGAACCTTCAATAAAACCAGGCATAGTTTCGAAGCCAGTTGGTACTTTAATTTTAGACCCTTTTGTTTGAAAGTTCTTAAAAATTAGAATCTGTTGTTGGATTACGTTTTTAGATACTTAAAAACTTACCTAAGGGCCTGTGAAAACCTATATGCAAAACGGAGTTAGTAAACTTTTTTAATTTATGATGGAATATTAGTATTAGGTTGTTCAAATAACTCTATGCTTCCTTTCAAAGCAAATTTTTTGGGGTTAGAGGGCACAAAATTATTTGAACAACCCAACAGTTTTTTAATGGTTTTAATAGTTGTACTTTGAAATATGTCTTTTTTGAAACTTTTAAATTTTAAAAAAATAGAAATATTAAAAAATATACGTAGTGTATTCGAAAACATACTAACACACAGTTAATATATTTGTGTTTTACATTGTTAAATATGTTTTTCATAGAAGTCACTTCTTTAAAAAAACTGACCATCTTTTTAATTATTCAATTTCTTTTCAAACCCCTAACCTTTACTATACAAATTAGCGTTGTTGTTTAGCACAGCACAGACATACTCATTACTCAGCACCAACCACACATAATTAATTTATGTTCGAGTGTAAAGCAAAGACATTTGTTTTTTGTGGCCGAACTGACCTCTCTTTTCTCACATTCCTCTCACAATTGTTGGCCTTTCAGTTTTTATCTCTTTTTCTCTCGGAAAAACCGGCTGTTCTTTGCGAAAATATTAAAAATTCGGGTTTTTGTGGATCGAAGCGATAGGTGGGGTCTTTTTGGGGGAGAAAAAGGACAAGTCTAGAAGAATGTTAGTATTTTAAAGGGCATTTGGCAAAAATTTAAAGTTTTGGGGGCTTTTGATAAGTTTTAAATTCAAAAAATTTTAATTTTAAAAATTTTAATTTTTCTTTAATTGTTTTTTTAAAATGGCGATTTTATTGTCTTGGAAGGCATTTTTATACCTACGGATTTTTATTACAAGCTCAAAAAATTGAAATTTAAACTGAATTTGTCAAAAAAAAGTTATGTCGTTTTTTATCATGAACCATATATAAATTGACGACAAAACTTATTTAACAGCCTTTGTTTTTAAATTTCTTAATTTTATAATTAAAAATGACATTTTCAAAGTTTTTAAATTCGACGTAATTTTTTAATTCGTATTTTACTAAATAAAGTCAATAACTTCACTAAACTGCTCTTAGAAAACACATGCCTAGGCGCCGAGCCAATTCCAATTTTTCGGGTCTAGACTCTTTCAAAGTTGTTTCGGCATAAACCAGTATCGGGCCGAGCCTAGTTACCCTCCTTTTAGTCTAATGCCATTGAAAAACACGTTTATTTTGCAATTTTTCAGTGTTATTCAGGCCAAAGTGATGGTAACTTAAAAGCAATTACTAACGTTGTTTTGAATTCGAGGCAGTCAAGCCTTAAGCGGACATCTCTTTTTCGGTTTGTGCACCTTGTTTTCCAAACACATTGGGCCACTTTTAATTTTATTTTGTACAAACAAGCTAATCCTGACATTACTTTTATTATGAACTGCGGAACATGATGCTTTTTGGAGTGGTGGGAGGAGTGGGGGTGGTATAAGATATTACCTTATATTTCCGAAATAGGTGTAGGTTAGGGACAGGGATGTCGCTACATATTTTTTTCTTTTAGGAGGGGGAGTAGAGGGTACGGAAGTGGGTGTGGAGGCTAAATTTTTTTCTTGGCAGGTACTTCTTGCGCGGACTTGTCCGGGCCTGTTGGGTTCTCTTTCACGTCTAGGCTAAAATACAATTAGTTTTATTTAAAAAAAAGTGAATTTTAGATAATTTTTTACTATGCACTATATAGAATGTAATAAACATATATCAAAACCTTTTAGCGCCTATATTTTATTTTAATACAACGATGACACCAGCTGCTTATATGCTGTTGAATGCATTATGCAGGTCAGGCAGGGGCATTTTCACCAATTTTCTTTTGGGTTTAGTGCTAAATTAAAATGTTTTATTCTATGAAGTTGTATTTCGCAGCTATACCTAAAAACTTTTTTATTGGGGTAGACCCTCTTCCCCCTCCTGTATGAATTGTTCAGGGATATTAAAGTTTTGAGTTATAAAAGAGTTTTGTTATACAAGAGCTTTATAGGCACTGTGTAGTAGTAGATGGGGAGTTAAAAGTTGATACCGTAGTTTCTCTATTTTAGTGAACCATCTGTATGAGCAACTCTTATTATACAAGAAATTAGGTCCCGTCAGTTCAATTTGCACTACAACTCACTCTGTAAAGACAACACCCCCACCCCTTATAGTAAACACAGAATTTCGGTCTCTTCGGGTTGCTTCTATACAGAGAGTACTGTAGTTATACATGAAATTCTTTATAAATGAGTTTTTTGTATAAGAGTTCTACTGTACTTTCTGCTATATTAAGATTGCTTCTCACTGATGATTTAAATGTTTTTTCAAATTAACTTTTTTTCATAAACAAAAACTTTAATAGAAAAATATTTCTCAACATCAATTTAACCACCCATTTCATAATTTTCAAAAACATGTCATAATCCCGTGACAAAACAGATGTAAATATTGTTGTAGGTCTATAAATGTCTTTACAAAAAAGTTCTTTGAGTTTTCAAAATGTACACGTTTTTCGATTGTTTTTTTTTTGCTTCGAAACAATATTTCACAATTATTATCACTGATAAGAGTTGTGTTTTGTAAGGCAACACTTTTCTTCAATTCGAGATTAAAATAGCAAAATGTTTGTCAACTTTTAATTGGATTACAAGTTTTTATGGCGATTTTTGTACGCTTTTTGGTATCGTGCTGGCGGGGTGACTTCTTCAGTGTTATTAAGTTGTTCAAATAATTCTATGATCCCCAAATCCAAAAATTTGCTTTAAGGGGGGCACAGAATTTTTCGAACTATCTGATAGCTATGAATGTAAAAGTTGTTCGTTATACATGAGTTTTTATGCACTGTGTAGTGATAGCTAGGGATTTCAATGTAGTTCGTTATACAGGAATCCCACTTTCATTTTTTCAAATTTTAAATTTTTCAATTTTTCTCTTAAAAAACGTCAAAGCCAGTCAAAGCCTCAATTATAAGCGGAAAAAGCAAAAGCCAAAACAATGTAATAATAGTGTAATTGAGGAGTCGCAAGCTAAGGTATCCAGTCTTATTCTGGTCAGTGGGTCGCGCGTCGGATCGCCTTTTGAAGCCCTCTTCTGAAGCGACGAGAGATCACACGAAATGAAGAGAGTGACAGACATGAAAAAGAGGGAAAAAGTGTAGGGCGATCTCGTTTTTTCCTCGCTGAACCAGGCGACTGGTCGAGTTTGTCAATCTAGGCACTTAAACCTGTTTTTTAGCGGGGGAGGGGGAGGGGGGGGGGTAGGTTAATTAACTCACTACGCAGATCTTCAAGTATGATTTTTTTGCTAAATACTTTGTTTTTGCGTTTATTTTGCGGGTTTGTTTATTTTTTTTTGAATGGATTAACTGTAGACAGATATTGTATTTATAAAGAACTGTAATATGATATTCTTAGGTGCCAAGTTTGATTTTTTAAAAAATATTTAAATATTTTTAGTTTTTTGAAACTTTTGAAAGTTATTCATTTAAAAATTTTTGAAGAATATTAAGTTACAGCCAAAGTACAGCAAGGTTTGCTATATATTCGGTTGTCTAAATGGGTGTGGATTTACTCTCATTGTCAGAGTCAATTCGAAGAAACGTTCTACAGGTTTCCAAAAGTTTTTTTTTGGTTTTTACTTTTCCTTTTCAAAAAAAAATCTGTAACAGTATCTCTGGTATTGCGTAAGGACCCAATGAAAAAGTACTTTTTCTAAAACAGAATTATGTTTTTTCCGTGAGTAGGGGAGGTAGGAGAAGTGGCACGGTTTTTAATTATAAAATAAATTTTTGCATTTGCTTTTGGCCGTACTTTAAAGTTACAGTACTTTTTTATATATAGCTTTTTTACAGTGCGCTTTTTGGTCTTGATATTATACTGTTGGCTATGTTATTAAAAAGAATTACTGTTAGGGCTTTTCTATCTGAAATCTTACATAGCAGTACTTTTTTAATTCAAATTTAACTCTTAGTATTATTTTTCAACAAAAATTAATTTTTTAATTTACTACCATATTACAAAAATGCCATTACAGTACCGTGCCTAGCTTGTAAATTCATAAAAGTTGAAAGTACGGTGTGATTGCACTTCTAATTGGATGTTGATAAGCTTGCAATTAGCTGTCAGATGTGAATGTTTCAACGCGAGATAAGAGTTTAATTAGCTGTATGTTAGAGTTTGTTGCGAGTGCAAAGGAATAAGTGCTATCAGTCGTTTTTACAATC